TGTGTGTGTGTGTGTGTGTGTGTGTGTGTGTGTGTGTGTGTGTGTGTTTGAGGCATGACGTACAGTGACAGGTGCAGGCGGTCACAGCAGCTGCAGTATCAGCTGCTGCAGAGGAAATACAATCAGCTATACCAACTTAATTCACACACACACAACCTTACAGTTCGATGGGAAAGCTCTCTGTGTCGCCTATACGTGTGTCTGTGAATGTGACCTGTTTCCATGGAACAAGTCCCGAATTAAATATGTAAAGGTTGATGTACCGAATATGCATGTTTTTTTTGTCGTGTGTCCTTAGCTGTATCTATCAGTGTCCTGTCTTTCTTGTGTTTGTTTTTAGTATTAAAACATGCAAAGGCGTTGTCTTCTGAGCGTTTGCAAGTGTTGTGGATTGTGTCTTTTTTAACCTAGCACCAAATACTTTTACTGAAGTCTGTTGCACCACAACTAGTGTACCGAACATATGCGGAATAAACGACAACATGGCTGCATCAAGATGAGTCAACTACTGGAGGTCCGTGAGAGCAACATTTTCATCTGGTGCTTTGTTACCCTTTTAATTTGTGCTGAAAGTTTCGGCTCAAGTCGCATGACTCTGACCTTGGCTTCGCAGAGGATCTTGAGAAAAAAGAGTGGTGGTTTGATTACATGAAAGAGTTCATTCTTAGCATTTAATTTGAGCAACCATTTTTGATGAAAATATATTCATATTATTAATTTAATACAAACTGAACCTCAGTGATAATGTTCTAACGTTTGGTTAACCCTATCAGGCAGATTTGAACGCATGGATATAAATAACAAGGAGCATCTTTTCTCTTTCTGAGTATCTGTTTACAACACTACCCCTACTTAAACTTTAACCTAATTTAAGTTCACTGTGTTGTCACATTTTGTGCATTAAATTAAGATGAAACAACACAGGCATGCTTTAAATGTTTTACACCCTGCCACCTTCCTTTGTCACAAATAAGTGTCTGCCCTCACTTCCCTTGCAAACATATCTCTGGGCGTGTGTGTTTTATCCTGTTACGAAGTGTTAACTGGCATTGTAAAGCTGGCAATTGGAAATTATATATATCCTGAGTGAACAGTCACCCACAAAGACACAAGCATTTACATGCATGATTACAGACACGTGTACTCGCACACACACCCCTGTTGACAGACAGATGCAGTTTAATCCTAGCAGATCAAAACAGAGACCCTCTGGGCTGTGCCTCAGGCCTTTGTACACAGTACACAGGGCTGGAGGTGTGCCTTCTAGATAAACACACACAAACACACAAACACACACACACACTCCCTAGCGGTCTCTTTCTAATACCTGCACAGACATGTAGTTACACTGTACATCCTCAAATGCAAGCATATGCAAATGTATAAGCATGCACAGAGGCTCTCTCATGCCATATGTGCAAACACACGTAACCAGAGGCACACACATGCACACACTGGCTATGCAGAATATGTAGAATATATGTGTACAGATACACAATGTCCTGAATGTGTGTAAGAGAGATGTGCCAAGTGTATCTTATGATCACAGAGAGTTTATAGATAGTGAGCGTGTGTTGCTGCCTGAACTGTAGCCAACCCAACATGTCCAGCCAAAAAGCAAAAAAGACGGTAAGAATCAACAGATATTCTGTCTGTGCGCTTGTCCGTCTGTCGGTGTCACACACACTTTTTCTCCAAAAATGATGTGAAATCCAAAAGCTGTGCTGTATGTCTGAAGGTGCAGTTTAAGTTGGGGGGCTTTTCAACCACTAAAGTCAGCGATCCTTTCTCTAAGATGGCAGCAACCTGCACAGTGTCTCTCGTTGCAACACGTCCATGTCTATATTTATTTTATTCTTCAGTTGAAGGGTCAGTTTTGCACTTTTTTGTCACAAATAGGAGTTGCAGATAGACAGAAACAGACTATAAAACACAGCACGGGAGTTCCATTGACACTATATAAAGCAAGGTTCTAAGTCAGCTTTCCTCCTACTGTATTTTCTCCATTTTAAAGAATATAGGGTGACTGCACGTCCTTGCAGGTGTGATCCCAGATGACTGCTCTTGTACAGTGGACTACTGTTTGTCTCAGAGACATTACACTGTGATTGTCTGTCCTTGGGGACAAACCCACACAAAGCATCTAAAAAATATGGACAGACACATTTAAAATCCATGTTTAAGGTAATATCATAATAACGGTAATGATATGGTATTCAACAACGTTTTGATGGTTAATTTAAGTTTTGCACATCACTTTTGACCTGAGAATGAATAAAGAAAGTAATAATGATGGGATCATGCCAATCTTTGAACTCAACCTTTATTTTAATCTCAACTACACATGTGTAAAGTTTCGTGACTGTATCTTACACGGTTGCGATGCTATAACGGGCACAGAATCTGTTCACAGACATATAAACACCCGGCAAAATATTAAAACCACCTCTGAAGTTCCTGCTACAGTAGGTGTTGCCATAATGACACACACACACAACCTTGTACTTCCATCTTTGTGAGGACACTCGTGGGCATAATGCATTTCCTATTATCCTCACCTTAACCATCACAACTAAATACCTGACGCCAACCCTTACCCTAACCCTAATTCTCTTCAAACAGGCCAACACTTACTGCAATGTTTTATGAACGGATAACCAACAAAACTGATCTTCTGACATTAGTCACAAAAAAAGACTTCTGCTGCAGCGGCTCCTGAGCGGCGGGATGAATAGCAGAGAGGTAGTTTGTTAGTGGAAAGAAGGAAAGTGGCCAAGCTCAGCCTATCCTGCCTGAACATTCAGTTTTTGGGAAACACAGATGTTTGTTTTCCTCTTTTCAGCAGTTTAATGCCGCCATGACATCAGTATTAAAAAAACTCTTTCAGAGCTTTGGGACTCTGAGACTCAATGACAAGTTGGTTAAATGAGCACGAAGCAGCCTAAACATGATAATCGCTCCCTTGTTATACTGTAGCTGCTGATGTCAGGCTCTAAGAGAAAAATCCTGACCGTAGGTGGAGTCCTAAGTGGGGGAAATTACCAACTGCAACAGTGCAGAAAGGAAAAATATAGCTTTCACTAACTCAAAGCACTTTTGTATCCCTGTTGTGACTGAAAGGTCACAAAGTTTTCAAAACTAGCAACAGATTTTAACTCAGTTATGGGAACACAACATAATAATAATGATACATTTTATTTGTATAGCCTTTTAAAAGGTACTTAAAGGCACTTTACATGGTAAAAACAAAAACAATAAAAGCAATTACAATATAAACAAAAGAGATGACATAACAGTAAGAAACAAAACAAAAGCATACATAAATAGCATCACAGGTTAAAAGCAGATTTAAATAGTTTTGAAAGTGGCGACTGATGGAGAATGTCTGAGGTGCTGGGGTAGGGGGTTCCAGAGGGAGGGGGCAGCGATGGAGAAGGCCCTGTCCCCCCAGGTCAGATGCTTGGACAGAGTAGGCGGGGTAAGGAGGTTGGCATCGGCGGATCTAAGGTTGGGAGCGTGTCGATGCAGGAGGTCAGAAAGGTATGAGGGGGCGAGGTTGTGAAGGGCTTTGTATGTGATGAGGAGGATCTTGAACTGGATTCTTTGCTGTATGGGGAGCCAGTGGAGGATTTGAAGGACTGGGGTGATGTGATCTCTGGTGCGGGAGTGGAAGAGCAGACGGGCAGCTGAGTTTTGGAAGTATTGTAGTTTGTTGATGATTTTGGTGGATGACCCGTACAGGATGCTGTTGCAGTAGTCCAGTCGAGAGGTGATGAAGGCGAGGATGAGTGTCTGAGCGGCTGTGGAGGAGAGGGAGGGGCGGAGACGGGCGATGTTTTTGAGATAAAAGAAGGCCGTTTTTGTGATGTGATTGACGTGACTTTCGAAAGGGAGGGTTTGATCAAAAATGATACCACGGTTACAGTTATGTGTGGAGGCAGGGACAGTGGTGCCATCGATGCAGAGAGAGAAGTTGTGGGATTTGTTTAGTTGGCTTGCATCCAGGTCTTTAGGTCTTGGAGGCAGTTGGTGATGGTGGAGTGGGTGGTGGGGGGGGATGGGGGGGATGGATTTGGTGGAGATGTAGAGCTGGGTGTCGTGGAAATGGAAACCATGGTTGCGTTTGATGTCGCCAAGGGGGAGCAGGTAGAGAATGAAGAGGAGGGGACCGAGTACCGAACCTTGGGGGACACCTTGAGAGACTGGGGCTGAGTCAGACTTGAATTTATTAATACTAATGGTGGGAGAGGTGTGATTTGAATCAGGAGAGGGCTGTGCCAGTATTGTGGAGGGAGGACTCGAGACGGGAGAGGAGGGAGTGGTTGATGGTGTCGAAGGCTGCGCTGAGGTCAAGCAGTATCAGGATGTTGAGGGAGTGGTCATCAGAGGAGAGGAGGAGGTCATTGGTGACATTCATTGGGGCGGTTTCTGTGCTGTGATGAGATCTGAATCTGGATTGAAATGGTTTATACAGTTGGTTGAAGTCCAGCTGGGTTTTGAGTTGGTGGGCAACAGTGCGTTGCAGTATTTTAGACAGAAAAGGGAGATTAGAGATGGGTCTGTAGTTGTTGGGGATGTCAGGGTCAAGGCCAGGCCTTTTCAGGATGTGTGTGACTGAGGCGAGTTTGAGGGCGGGAGAGACAGATTCATAGACAGGGAGGAGTTGATGACAGAGAGCGGGAGACAAGCCATGACTGAAGTGGGAGGGATGGGGTCAAGGTCGCAGGTCGGAGTATTCATGCCTGACAGTGATTTATTGAGATCTGAGGGGGAGATGAGGGAGAGTGACTGGTCGGTTAGTGGGGGATTTACAAAGACAGGGTTGGGGGGACGGAGCTGGAAGTGGCCAGTTGGTTGTAGATCTCAATTTTGTCTTTGTAGAATGACAGGAATGAGTTACATTTCTCAGCTGTGGAGGAGTGGGAGAGATTGCCCATAGGTTTGAGAAGTTTATTTATTGTGGAGAAGAGGA